TTCGTGGTCCCGTAGAGTGTCCCCCGCAGCCTCTCCTGGGCCGTCTCGAAGCGCTGGTCCAGACTGGAGGCTGTCTTCTGCACCAGGTTCCAGATCACGTAGTTGTTCAGGATGCTGTGGAGGCAGAGAGATGCCGCGGCTCACCACCATCCATGGGGATACCCCAGCCTCCAAACCACCAGTGAGCCCAAAATGTGCCCCCGCTGCAGGGGCAGCCCCAAATGGGGCATGGCCGGGGAGGCTCACAGGTGTCTCACCTCCTGTCGGTGCCGTTGATCAGGTCAGAGACCTGCTGGAGGTAGGCGTCCCCGTACACCACCACAGGCTCTGTGTCTGCCAGCTCCAGCGGGGCCAGGGCATAGGACAGGTAATCCAGCCAGTCGACAGCAGGGGCCAGGGTCTGGAGGGGAACACAAGAATGCAGCACCTGGGTGCTTGGCACGGCTCTGCCCCATCCTGCCTGGCACGAGAGGGTTCCCTGGGGCAGGGGCTGTGCTCCCCGGGAAGGTCCCAAGGTCCCTCAGCACCACAGATCCCTTCTCTGTCCCACTGGACAACTCCCACCTTGCATCTCCAGAGGGTTTGCCCAGGCTATGCCATGCTGTGCCCACCTGCAGCTCAGCGATGCTCATCTTGTGGTAGATCTTCTCGTCGTCTCGCCGCTCAGCTTGGGGCACAGTGATGTTGGCCAGCTGGGTTTCGAAGTCCAGCACCTGCCGCATCTGGAGACGGGTGGGCTCTGGGGCCCCCCCCAGCAGTGTGCCCAGCTCCACCATGTAGTCCAGGGATGCTGCCAGGACCTGGCAGGACCCCGAGCACCGTCTCAGCCCCGGCTGCAGCTCATCCCACCTCCCCAGGGGGCTCACAGCCACTGCCCACCCCAGACTGGGGTATGCCCTGGCACTGCTCGCACCCCATTGTCGTGGGATTCCCCCCGTGGCTGCGGGCAGGGTGCCCAGTGCCCAGCCTCACCCTCTCATTGGCAGTCTTGTTCAGGTAGTAATCCCGAGATGGGAGGAAAAGCCCTCCCCCGGGGAGGAGAGAGGGGCAGCATGGGCAGCCTGGTGCCCAACGGTGCCCCCCACAGTGCCCACCACCCCTCCATGCCAAGGTGCCAACCTGGATGATGTTGCTGTTGGAGCTCTTGGAGTCTGCCCCCACATACACTGTGAAGAAGGGGGTCGCCCGGTACGTGCCTGACACCATCTTGAGGACCTCCATGAAGCTGGTCTGGTTCCAGGAGCCGGTGACATTCCACCCCCCGATCTGCTGGCAGACAGACCCGGTGGCTGCCCCCTCCCCAGTAATGAGAAGGTCCATGCGGCAGACGTGCTAGGTTGAGCCCCAACAGCTCAGCTCAGGTGTGGATGGCCGCCCACCTTGTCGATGAGCTCCATGAGGGGCTGTTCTATCTTCTGCTCCTGGAGGCAGGACGGGTAGTCCCGCTGCGTCTTCCGCTCCGCCTCACTGCTGGAGTTGAAGGTGGTGTTCTCTGCGGGACGCTGCGGGTCAGCCCCGGGGATGCTGGGGCTCTGCCTGCCTGTGCCCAGAGGTCACCCCCCCAGTGGCCAGGACCCCTCCACCAGTGCTCACCTAGGAGATGCTTCATGATGGCCTGGTTCTGGTCCCAGATGCTGTTGAAGGTGCTCCACTTGGAGCGTCCATTGGGCAGCGGGTTCCTCTTGATCCAGCCCCCGCACGAGTACTGGTAGAAGTCCTGGCATGGGTCTGTCTCCGAATCCAGAGCCTCCAGGATCTTGCTGGCCACCCGGACGCAGGCGTCCGTCAGGCACGTGCTGTGAGAAGGATCTGGCAGGGAAGGCATGCCTGGGGCTGTGCGCCTGTGCCAGGGGAAACTGAGGCACGGAGGGGGGCCCAGCTCTGCCTGCACCCCAGGGCGGGCAGAGGACCCGGAGCAGGAGCTCTGCTCTGACCCGTCGCTCCCTGTCCTGCCGTGTTACCCCTGGGTGTGGGGACACCATCACCACCTTGGTGAGGACACAGGGACCCTCCCTACCTCTGCGGTACTGGATGGCCAGGGCGATGACAGCGATGCCAAGCAGCAGGGCCAGGGAGACGGCAACGGCGCAGAGCACCAGCTCCAGCTGGCTGCGTGAGGCCAGGCGGCTCAGCCATGGCTCTGGCCCCTTCCGAAACCCCACCTGAGCAGGAGCAGGACCCACCATCGCACCACAGCGGGAGCAAACCTCATTGCTCCCACTTCCCTTCCCTCCCACTCCCCTGTGCCTGGCTTAGGACCAGGGCATCCCTCAGGCTGGGCGAGCTGACAGTGTGTGCTGGTGGCCTCCCCAGCCGCAAGGAAGGACGATGGCCCAGGCACAGTCTGTGCCGCATTTTGGCTGCCTCCCAGCACATCCCTGGGGACAGGCAGGGCTGGCTTGGCTGCCCGCCCTGCTCCTGCTGCCCATCCGGCTGTGGGTAGGCTCCAGCTGAGGGTGAGAAGGGGGGTTGGGAGGATGGGGAAGGGAAGGATAGAGGTGCCAAGCAGACCTCACCTCCACGCTGTCGGGAGAGGCGCTGCCATCTCTTGCCGGCTCTGGCCCCTCATCGTCCTGCAGCGTGGCACGCTTGTAGTCGGGCATCTGCTGAGGGAGGGAGCGGGCT